CTTCAAGAGTTGTTTAAAATCAATGTTACCGACAGGAAAGGACATTGGTCACATATTTGTCATACGCCTGAGCATCTAACAAAACTTTATCAGGCATCCATATAAAGAAGTTCAAATAATGTGGAAGTAAATTTGACCTTTCAAATTGATGATGTGGAGGTAAATTTTGTATACAAAAATGATTATGTCAATAAGCTAAATGATGTTAATGGCCTTGAACTATGACACATTTAGATGTGGCTGATTTCTCTAAGAATCATGATTATAAGAGTTTGGATAATTTTAGTTTGCTTTATTTATGCTTTACTTACGTTATTACCTTCTCTTTTTTAAGAGCATTATTAATCATGATGTACTTTGAATTTATGTCAATGAATGTTTTTTTGTGTGTGAAGAATATAGATGTTTCTCTTCCTTTGTTGGGCACAAGAATAAAGATATATATATATATATATATATATCTCATAGATAGTGCTACAACACACACCATACTCAAAGATAGAAAATATTTTTCTTATCTTACGATAAATAGTGCAAGCATCAATATTATAGCGGGTGATACAAAACTAATTAAAGGTTCTAGAAGAGGAATTATAATATTACCTAGAGGAACAAAATTTGTTATTAGTTATGCTTTATATTCCTTTAAGTCTCAAAGGAATTTATTAAGTTTTAAAGATATCCACGAAATGAATATCATATTAAGACTATAAATGAGAAAAACATTGAATATCTACATGTTACCATGGTAAGAAATGGAGAAAAATGTGTCATGAAAAAATTACCGACATTATCTTCTGAGTTGTACTATACAAATATTAGTACAATATAAATAAATGCCACAGTAAACTAGAAGTTTATTGATAAAGATACATTTATTTTTTGGCATGATCGGTTGGGTCATCCCAGATCAACTATAATATGAAGAATTATTAAAAATTCACATGGATACCCATTGAAGAGCCAGAAGATTATTCAATTTAAAGATTTTTCATGTGCTATTTGTTCTCAAGGAAAATAAATTATAAGGCCTTCATTGACAAAAGTAGAAGTTGAATCTCCTGTATTTCTAGAGTGTATCTAAGGAGATATATGTAGACCTGTCCATCCATCATGCAGACCATTCAAATATTTTATGGTTTTAATAGATGCATTTACAAGATGTTCCCATATATGTTTGTTATCAACATGTAATTTAGCACTTGCTAGATTACTTGCTCAAATAATTCGACTAAAAGTATAGTTTCCAGACCATACAATTAAGACAAGTCGTCTTGATAATGCTAGTGAGTTTTCATTTCAAGTTTTTAATAATTATTGCATGGCAACTAGAATAACAGTAGAAAAATCTATTGCTTATGTCCACACTCAAAATGGCCTAATAGAATCATATTATAAACGCCTCCAATTGATTGCTAGACCAATACTTTTGAGATTAAAACTTCCCATTTCAGTTTGGGGACATACAATTTTACATGCAGCAGTAATTGTATGTATAAGGCCAACAATTTATCATGAATTCTTCTAGTTACAATTGACTTTTGGTCGAGAGGCAAATATTTCCCATCTTAAAATTTTTGATGTGTGGTATTTGTCCCTATTACTCCACCACAACGCACAAAGATGGTACCTCAAAGAAGGTTAGGGATATATGTTAGCTATGAATCTCCTTCTATAATTAAGTATTCAGAACTATTAACAGGAGATTTGTTTACATCACATTTTGATGATTATCATTTTGATGAGACAATTTTTCCAATATTAGGGAGAGATAATAAGCAGCTGGATAAAGAAATCACATAAAAAGCATTATCATTATTTCATCTAGATCCTCGTACACAACAATGTGAACTTAAGTTCAAAGAATAATTCATTTGCAAAACATTATAAATCAATTGACAAATGCACTTACTCATCCTAAGAAAATTATTAAATCTGATATTTCAGTTGAAAATGCTCTGATTAGAATTGATATCCTAGCAGGACAATTAGAAAACACAAGTGAAACCAAATGATGCTTGAAGTGGGCAGACCACTCAGTTCCAAAGATAAAACTCCTAGAAAGAAAAAAGGAGCAAATATTCATAATGGTTATGATAGTCAAATTGATGAGGCAAGTCCTATAGAGAGGACCAAAACATAACTAATCAAAAGGCCTAAGAAGAGGCCCAGGTACCTGAAAATAATGAAGAGATCTCGATAAGTTATGTTGCCGCAGGAAAAAAGATGGAACCGAGAGAATACAGTCATCGATAACATTTTTTCATATAATGTTGATGTTGAAATAATTAAGCAACATGAGGATCTTAAACCTACATCAGTTGAAAATGATGTAGACATAGAGATGATTGGCCAAAATGGAAAGATGCAATTCAAGCAGAGTTAAATTTACTTTCAAAACGTGAAGCTTTTGGACCTATAGTCCACATACCAAATGGTGTAAAACCAGTTGGGTACAGATGGGTCTTTGTGCGCAAATGAAACAAGAAAAATGAGATTATTAGATATAAAACACGGCTTGCAGTACAAGGGTTTTTACAAAGACCTGGTATTGATTATGAAGATACATATTCTCCTGTAGTGGCTATAATTACTTTAAGATATATAATTAGTTTGGCAGTCTATAGAAAACTTGAAATGCGTCTAATGGATGTTGTTACGGCATATTTGTATGGTTCTTTAAATACTGAGATTTATATGAAAATCTCTAAAGGATTTAAATTGCCAGAAACATGTAAGAATTCTCGAGAAAATTATGCAATTCGTTTGCATAAATCCTTATACAGATTAAAACAATATGGAAGAATGTGGTATAACCGAATTAGTGAATATTTGTTGAGAGAAGGCTATAAAAATGATCCAATTTGCCCATATGTTTTTATAAAAAGAAATGGATAAGAGTTTGCTATAATTATTGTCTATATGGATTATTTAAATATAATTAAAACTCCCAAAGAGCTTCAAAAAGCAGTTGATTGTCTAAAAAAAGAATTTGAAATGAAAGATTTTGGAAGAACAAAGTTTTGCCTCGGCTTGCAAATTGAGCACTTAGCAAATTGAATTTTCCTCCATCAATCGACTTATACTAAAAAGGTACTAAAGCGATTTTATATAGATCAGGCCTATCCATTATCTACTCCTATGATTGTAAGATCACTTGATAAGCATAATAACTTCTTGGTCCTGAAGTATCATATCTTAGTGCCATAGGTACATTAATATATCTTGCTAATTCAACACGACCTGATATTGCATTTACTGTTAGTTTATTGGCAAGATTTAATTCTTCCCCAATAAGAAGGCATTGGAATGAAATTAAGCATATATTTTGATATCTCCGAGGGACAATTGATATGGGATTATTTTACTTTAATGAATCAGAATCACAATTACTTGGCTATGCAGATGCAAGATTTCTATCAGATCCACATAAAAGCAAGTCTCAAACAGGATATTTATTTATTTGTGGACGTACAACGATCTCATGACGTTCAATAAAACAAACTTTATCAGTTACCTCATCAAATCATGTGGAAATAAATGTAATTTATGAGGCAAATCGAAAATATGTTTGGCTGAGGTCAGTGACTCAATATATTCAAAAAATGTGTGGTTTTTCCCTTGAATAGAAGATTCCAACAGTATTATATGAAGATAGTATAGTATGTATAGCTCAAATAAAAGGAGGATATATTAAAGGAGATAGAATAAAGCATATTTCTCCAAAGTTCTTTTTCACTCACGATCTTTTGAAAAGTGGTGATATAGATTTTCAACAAATTCGCTCATGTGACAACTTTGCTGATTTGTTTACCAAGACACTGCTGACTAGAACATTTGAGAAGTTAATGTATGGTATTGGAATGTGTTGACTTAAAGATTTAAAATGATATTATCATTAGGAGGAGTAAATATTGTATACTCTTTTTTCTGCACTAGGTTTTTGTACCAATGGGTATTTCCTAGTAAGGTTTTAATAAGGCATAATACTCGTTATGGACTTCCAATGGGGAGTATTATAAATATTGCATGAGTGGATGCCCATAACCCCTAACCCTTAGAATTCTCATAGGATTCTTTACCTTCAAATGTCATAAACCACATAACCTTCCTAATGAATGACTTGGGAGAAGTTTCTCATTATTAATGCCATTATGATATTCTTTATTGCTTTGTAATCTTAGTATAGGACTTAATGTTTGGAGGCTTATAAAGAGAGGGCATGCATAAGGTATTTTTACCATGAAACAAAGTGAATAAGAAAAAGATCATTGTCTTCTCTATTTCTTGTTTTCTCTTCTACTCTCTAGTATTCTTATTTCTTGTAGTTTTGCAGCATACTAATAATTTTTGAGTAGCAAATATTGCACAAATATACAATGTATAATTTTATCTTAATTTATCATTTGTAAACTATTAGTATTTCTTAAAAAGTAACATGTCCGTTAAATAAGAATAAAATTAAAAAAATGATAAAAAAATTAGAAATTACTAAATCCCAAATCAGGTTGGGTAACAACATTTTATTTAGTGTTAACAACACTAAATTTATAAATAACAAAATTTTTTTATTGACATTTAGTTTTTTTTTTGTCATTTTCCCGCTACTAAATTTTTGTAATATAAAGTTAATGAAATTAAAATTTTTCTCCATTTAAGTAAAATATAAGTGCCACGACAATTTGGGTTGATGAATTTATTTTAAATTATTTCAAATAAATGTTTTAATTTTATTTATACTAAATGAGATTATGAAAGGAGAAAAAAAAATGTCATGAACCATATTCAAGTATCGATAATAATTGTGGGGAATAAAATTTACAAAAAAATGAGATTTTATGTTTTTTTGGGAGTGAGAAATGAGATTTTATTCAAAGTAAAATAAAGAGATAAATGAATGCAAGAACTGGGAAGTTAAGGGAGGAAACAATTTTCACCCGCCTTCGAATCGGTTTCACTGAATCTGGTTATAAGCTGCATTAACTCCAAATAAATGCACACAATGTTCTAGGCAGAACAGAATCCTTTATTTTCGTTCAGCTTGCTGCTGAATTTGAGCCTCTTTTCCTCCTCCTGGGTCATCTCCTCCGTTACCGACCATAGCTAGGGTTTCATTTGGGAAGAAATCTGCGATTGAGCTTTCTCCTTCGTTAAGGAAGGGGGTTTTGTTGTTATTTACTTGCTGTATGTATGCCTGTTATTGTAGCTTCTCCATGATCTCGCTCTTCTGATCTGTGTTGTTATCTGCTGCTTGAATTTCCCAGTCCTGTTGTGAGTGATGGGTTCACATTATTTGTTTGTTGATGGTTTATATGAGAAGAAGTGGGGTTGAACGGTGGTGTGGTTGAGATTGAATTTTTCGGCCGTGGTTCTTCCATGGGCGGGCGTATTTGGGGGTGAAATTTATCCTGTATGCTGATTACTATGGTTTCGTTTTTATTTTCTGATTCTTTTCTTGGTAAAGTTTATGTACTTCTTCAATTTGTAAATATTTCGCTCGTGTATTGCAGTTTTTAATACCTGGGATTAAGCTTGCCAACATGTCGATGTGTGAGCGCAAGACGATCGACCTAGAACAAGGATGGGATTTTATGCAGAATGGCATCACAAAGCTGAAGAATATTCTTGAAGGGTTGCCCGAGCCTCAGTTTAGTTCCGAGGACTATATGATGTTATATACGTATCCGTCGCTAAGCAGTTTCATTGTTCACATGTTTAGTCTATAATTTATTTTTATTTTTCATTTTTTTTTGTTTGATCACTTTGGCTTGAGTTGATCGCATATTTTCGTTAGGCACTGCATTTCCTTAAATCGTGTTGCAGGACTATCTACAATATGTGCACTCAAAAGCCTCCTCATGATTATTCCCAGCAACTGTATGACAAGTACAGGGAATCGTTTGAAGAATACATTCTATCAACGGTAACTCTATTGTCTGGATATCTTTTGGATAAACTTGCACGTTATGTACTGTCTTTTTTTTTGGGGGGGGGGGTATGTTACAGTCTTAAGTTTTGCCTCTTACGTGCCTAGCCTCATGACATCGAATGTGACATCGTTTATTCCATAGCAATGAATTTGGTAAAGGCTGCATAATCACGACTTAATTGGCTAATTGACGTACTTCTGTTTTAGAATGCATATTATGTTGTTCTTTAAAGGCATCCTAGAAGATGCAAAACAAGTAACTAATGGGGTCTGATATTGATTATATCAAAGTTATCTATGGAGCTTCCCATGCGTATTGTAGCGACATCAGCTCCTAAATGGCACAGGGTGCATCACAGTTACACTCAATAATGCTGAGCAGGTGTTAAATATTCAAATTTTTATTTGATTCTCAGTTTACAACAATACACTAATGAACAGATATATATATATATATATATATATATATATATATATGTTTGCATGTTTGAAGGGCTAAAATCATATCCAAATCACAATCTCAATTCCTAATCTGATAAGCGTTTGGACTCAAATGTTATGTAAAACACTATGCCAAACATTTACTTTATCTTCAGTCTATGAATTAAAAAAAACTGATTGTCAAAGAGAGACTGCATACAATAAGAAATTATGGATCTCAGTCAGCAAGCTGTTGCTAGCCTTGGGTTGTGCCAATGACAGACAAAAATAACTATTTGGCTAACAGCAACGTCAAGCTTTCTTGAAATGTGCTTGAAAGGGGTAGGAAGTGCTGATATTTATGGTTAGGTAGAGCAGAAGGCTACACATGTACCATTTGTATCTATGTGCATTAAGATCCTGATTCACGGACCTCTTGGTTTGAGAAATAAAAATAAGAGGATTGAACATTTCTTTTGACTCTTTTTCAAATTTGATAAATGTTGGTTGATCGTATGTACCTACTATCATCGGAATTTGAATATCATTATTTTTTCCAATTTTGTGCATGTTGTGATGGCACATGTTGGCTGTGGAACTTGCTGTAACTGTGCTGAATGAAATTGAAAGTTGCTAACCCACTGCTGTGTAATTGAATTAATAAGCTAAGACATTACCCGACTATTTTCTATGCACTAAGCAGCAAACCTTGAAGTGGAGGTTTCTGGTTGGGATGAGCTGCCATCGAGTAGACCCTGGAAGATAGTTCTCATCGTCGAGTTTGTAAGGTGTAATGAGATTGATTTTGTCGTTGGATACTATTGGGCCAGCCATGAATGAAGACTGGTTGGCACTTGAATTAATGCTGGCTTGGAGTGCGCCATATTTGCCAAATTGAACAGGAGTGTTAGCCATTAAAATTCAAGGATGAATATCGCAAGTTTAGTGAATTGATCACGTGTGATAATGTGACTTGAAGGGGGAAAAAAAAGGACAGAGATCGCACTATTTTGTGCGAATGAAGGCAAGAAAAACACAATATTTTGTGCGACATAGATGGCCCACATAAATTTACTAAGTTCATGGTACCAAGAAGAAAATAGAGAGGGAGAATAAAGAAGAAATTGGTTGAGTAATTGATGCTCAGCTTCAAAGCTTTATTGATTTATTTGCTTGATAGATATGGTAAAAATAAAGGATAAAGCCTTAGGATAAAACCTAATATCTTAAAATTGAAATTTAGATCAGGATAGAAACATATCCTATCTAATCTATCTAATTCATTCTAATCTAAATAATACATGAAATAATTAATAAAGAACTGACTAATTGGGCCCTCCTAAGTGGGCTTAGGCCTCATCTTTCAACATAAAAGAATTACTAGCTGAACATTTTCTTATTTCCCATAAAGATCTAATATGAAAAGTAGTAAATGATCCTCGTTGTGGGCCATCTATGTCGCCCAAAATATTGTGTTTTATATCACTATGACTGCCTTTTCCTAATATTGTCAGATCCATATATGTATATGTGAGAATGAGGCTCAGAAGTCATATGAATCTCAAATTTAAACATCATTAGAAGCAGTATTTATGTCATAATGAGGCACAGAAGTAATATGACTGAAGCACACAATACTTTTATGTATTTTAAAATCGTTAGCTAAATCTCAAATTTTGTGATGGGTTTTTTTGGGGTCATGTCTAGTTTATTTTACAGTTTAACTATAAAGTATGCCATTAGCATTTTTTTAAAATTATATTATTTTTTGTATTTATCAGTTGCTACTATTTTCTTTCCAACATTTCTTCTAATAAAATTCAATCTTTGTATCATTTAGGTATTACCTTCTTTGAGAGAGAAGCATGATGAATTTATGTTGAGAGAGCTCGTGAGAAGGTGGGCAAACCATAAGATTATGGTTAGGTGGCTTTCTCGCTTCTTTCACTATTTAGATCGCTACTTTATTGCTCGGAGATCACTTCCACCTCTTAATGAAGTTGGATTGAGTTGCTTCCGGGATTTGGTAATGTAACAACTGAATCTTCTGTGGGGTTATGTTATTCTTTCTGCTAGGACGCTAGTACCGAAGGTAGCTTTCTTGCAAATCAATTTTATGTGCTTCTCTATGTACAGGTGTACAAGGAACTAAATGGTAAAGTGAGGGATGCTGTTATCTCTCTTGTAAGTTTTTTTGTTTTAGTGAGATCTTCATTAACTGCAAATTTATATGAATTAATCGAAATTTTTTCCAAAGATTGATCAAGAACGGGAGGGAGAACAAATTGATCGAGCTTTATTGAAAAATGTGCTAGATATATTTGTTGAAATTGGAATGGGACAAATGGGTTGCTATGAGAATGATTTTGAAGCTGACATGCTCAAAGACACCTCTGCATATTATTCTCGAAAGGCTTCCAACTGGATACTTGAAGATTCTTGTCCTGATTATATGCTCAAGGTTTGTTTTCTCTGTTGTTCTCACTGTAGCTTGTTCACTTCATTTACATTACTGGATATCATTTGCTCTGGTGCTCACAGGCTGAGGAGTGCTTAAGGCGTGAAAAAGATAGGGTTGCTCATTACTTGCATTCTAGTAGCGAGCCGAGATTACTTGAGGTTTGTTATTGACTATCAGGTCTACTACTATGTTGAATAGGTCATATCTTGCTAGGCAACTCCAAAACAAAGTTTGTTATAGACTATGATTAAGTTTTGTGGCTCGTGTTCAAAGTTTCTTAACAATTTTGATGTTTTTGTTCTTCTTGTGGAAAATCACTTCTAGAAAGTTCAACATGAACTATTAACTGTGTATGCAACCCAACTCCTTGAAAAAGAGCACTCTGGATGTCACGCATTACTTAGAGACGACAAGGTATTTGGTAGACCCTTTTTTTAAAAAAAAAAAATTAACTTGTGATGCCTACAATTGTTATGCCATGCATAATATGTTTAACTCTTTCTTTAAATGCTTAGATTGAAGACTTATCACGGATGTTCCGGCTCTGTTCTAAAATACCTCGCGGGTTGGATCCTGTTGCTGGTATATTTAAGCAGGTTGATACTGTTGAACTTATCTTTCTGCATTTCCTCCCAGTTTTGTATGCCAATAAGGAGTCTGATCATGTTGGTTTGTTTATATGATGTTCTCTTTCCTTCCACGTTGTAGCATGTTACTACTGAAGGAATGGTGTTGGTGAAGCAGGCCGAAGATGCAGCTAGTAACAAAAAGGTCTGATATCTGGTCTACAGTTTATACATCTATATTTGGAGATTATTAAATGAAAACTTATACTTGGGCATGCATTACCTTCCGTGTTTTCTGAGCTAATCGCTATCATGTGTACTACGTCAGAATTATCATGCAGCGATATACAAGTTCAGGGGAAAAGAAATTTTTTTGTTTTTGTTTCTAAATGTTTCACGAGCATGCTTATGATGTTAATCAAAGGTTATATGAGGTACAAGTAAGAGTATTACCAGTTCTAAAATTCTAACTTCAGTGTAAATGATTAGTTCATTTGGTTTAAATCGAACTGCACTTCAATTGCTTTTGCCTTAGATCTGTACTGTTAATTTGTTCCAGCGAAATACTTGTATCATTAAGTTCTAAAAAGGCTTCAAACGGCCACATAGGCGACCGATAGCTTCAAACTGTCTCTTCTTTCTGAAAATTTTGTGCAAAATGATGGCATTTTGAGGCAATTTATTTTTATTCCTAACCTTTCTTCTTTATGTTTCTAATTAATATTCCTACAGGCAGAGAAAAGGGATGTTGTCGGCATGCAGGAACAGGTAACAGCTGAAACTTCCTTAGTTCCAAGGCACAGTAATTTTTTCATGTGAGGGAACTGAAATTGGTTTCTTTCTTCAGTTTTTTGTTCGGAAGGTGATTGAGCTGCATGACAAGTACCTGGCATATGTGAATGGCTGTTTTCAGAATCATACACTTTTCCATAAGGTTTTGATCTGACTTTGAAATTGTCGTGTAGGATAATTATATTGTTAAATAACTTGAAATTTTTTATCTTTCAGGCGCATAAGGAGGCTTTTGAGGTCTTCTGCAACAAGGGTGTTGCTGGAAGCTCAAGCGCAGAACTGCTTGCAACCTTCTGTGACAATATTCTTAAGAAAGGAGGAAGTGAAAAATTGAGTGATGAAGCAATTGAAGAAACTCTTGAAAAGGTCTGCATTATTGTAAATGTACTGCATGCATCTGTAAAATAGATTCTTGACTTGGGTTTGTTTTTTTGGCTGGTCTGTGTGCAGGTGGTCAAGCTGCTCGCCTATATTAATGACAAGGACATGTTTGCTGAATTCTATAGGTAAATTAAAGGAGAAAGGAAAATTTCGTTGATGATTAAGTTTAATTATTGCTGCTCTGGGGGGTTCTATCTTTCCATAACTTTATCTGTTCATTTCTCTATTAAAGCAGACAAGTTGTCCTAATAGGTTTATCAGTCATTAGCAACTGTGTTTACAGATTCATTTCCAAGAACCAAATTCAGGGTTGCCACTAAGTTTTTTCTTTTCATTTATTTTAAACAGAACTAGAAGTAGCAAGTGTTAGCACTCTCATACACTGCCGCATAACTAGCTAGAAGTTTATTATTGAAGACCCCTTAAAAGGTGAGGTGGATGTAGGGGGTGTTTGGCAACCTCTAAACCATGGTTTTAGAAGCACTTTTCAGCAAAACGAGGCAAACTCCTCCACATATTTACTTCTTAAACTGTAAAAGCACTTCTGAAACTATGGTTTGGTTTCTATCCAAACACCCCCGTAGTTACAATATTAGGAAAACTATAATAGAAATACAGTGGTATAAAACAAAGAAAGTGGAGAGAAATTGGAGTATGTGGATGTGCATTATTATCATGTTGTTGTTATATTCTTATGACTGATAGTCCTATACTCATTATCTAATCTCACAAGACATTTCAATTAGAAAAGGGCCATGGACTTTGTGGGACAAAAAAGTGGAGGGTAGTGGAGGGTTTCCCTCTTGCTCACTATTGATATTAGGGATGAAGAAGCCCAAAACTATATATTCCTTTGTGTCTTGCCGATGCTGCAGATATGGCAGAGGCGGCAACAGATCTGCTGCTCAATCCCATGAATTAGGGTTGAATAACTGGGAAGAATAAGAACAGAATGATGTTGAACATTAAATCCCTTAATAGTCAGGAAAGAACGTTCAACAAATAAACGGCATTGGAAGGAAAAGATAATGACATTGTAACGGGCCCTAAATGGGCTGAATTAGGTTGGCAATGGGAGATATCGTTGGCCAAAAAAAAAAAACTATAATAGGGATACCAAAATGATCCTTTTGTGGTCTTGGCGAAATCATTATGTTTCATCATGATATTAATACCAGGAGTTTAACCTTAATGGTCAATATAGTCTTCTGCAAATTTTGAAATGTGCATTTTTACCCAAAATCAAATTTTTAGCATATCACCAATTGCCATTGTTGTGACTGTATCGCAAGGCTACTCAAAAACAATCTCGTGTTTCTATCAGATGCTTTGAAAGAGTAATACTCATACAATGGCTTGCTTGATTGCCTGCAGGAAGAAGCTGGCTCGGAGGCTCCTCTTTGACAAGAGTGCCAATGATGAACATGAGAGAAGTATTTTGACAAAATTGAAGCAACAATGTGGCGGACAGTTTACTTCAAAGATGGAAGGAATGGTAAGTTTCCCTTAAAACTCATGAATTGATTTGATATGTGGCATTCAGGTACCATGTTTGGATATTTAAAGAGAATATTTAAACAATTGTTGCTCCCACCAGGTTACAGATTTGACTCTGGCGAAGGAAAACCAATCTAGTTTTGAAGAGTATCTCAACGAAAATTCGAATGCAGACCCAGGAATGGACCTGACAGTCACAGTTCTGACTACTGGATTCTGGCCAAGTTATAAATCTTTTGATCTCAACCTTCCAGCGGAAATGGTATATCTGAATCTTTTGGCCAAGTGCTCAATACTAATTAACCAGCATTTGGTCGATTTTGGTTGCACATTAATGTCTCTTCCTCTTGCTCCATTTTTGATAGGTCAAGTGCGTTGAAGTTTTCAAGGAGTTTTATCAAACAAAAACGAAGCACAGAAAATTGACGTGGATTTACTCCTTGGGCACCTGCAACATAACTGGAAAATTTGATACAAAACCTGTGGAGCTGGTTGTGACAACCTATCAGGTTATAATCTTATCACATGCTTCTTTCCTATAAAAGTATGACTTGTATGTGTTCCCTTCCATTTGACATATTTGGGCGTCCGGTGATTCCTGTATAGGTTTCTTTATGCTGATTCAATGTTTTTTCTCGTTTTTTCAACAGGCTGCTGCATTGCTTCTCTTTAATTCGTCAGATAAATTGAGTTATTCAGAGATATTGACTCAGTTGAACTTGACCGATGATGATGTTATTAGACTGCTTCACTCCTTATCATGTGCCAAGTACAAGATTCTTAACAAGGAGCCAAGCACCAAAACAATATCATCCACTGATGTTTTTGAATTTAATTCAAAATTCACCGACAAAATGAGGACCATAGCAAAACCTGCATCAGTGATGAAGGAAAATATGAAAATTACAGTTCATTAAATTGTTGTTTAATTTCTTGCTTTGCAGAAAATATAGAAGTACGATAAACAGATGAATGTTTATAATCATGTTGTCAAGAATCAAGATAGCTATTTAGACAGTAAACTCCAAAGATCTTAAGATTACCTACCCCTAAAACCATCCTGAGCCTATGTGGTACGAAAAATGGCAAGGACCAGGCTATCCTCCCCGACCCTGGAAGATTGCATGCATAAATTTACCTTTTTGAATCCTAGAATTGCATGCATAAATTTACCTTTTTGAATACTGGAGTGCCGCTTTCTAGCTCAAATTAACCCTCTATGATTATAATTGTTGATTTTCTTTTCTTTTTATTGTGTGTTGACCATTGTTTTTCTTGAATGATTGCTCGATAGACTTGATTATTGAACGTGTCTAGGTTTAACTGATTATTGTAAGCCCTTTATCTAGTGAATTGTGCCTTTTATGAGGGGTGCCTTGTTTAATGTATAAATATTATCACTTCAGTAACTAAAGGTTGTTTTATTTTTTGGCCAGAACTAAAGGTGTTTAGACGTGAAATTTTGCGACTTTTGTAACCCATAACTCATTTTATTGAAGTATGATGAGGTTTGTATGGCTTTACACTTACATAAGAATTCTATGTAATTTATACAAATTTTTTGCCATAAAAGGGAGCATTTTAGAATTCAATCTTTTAACCCCTCATTGATCCTACATAAAATTTTGATCTTGATAACCTTGTTTCCAGTAAAGATAATTGCCAAGAGCCACGTCCAAAACAAGAGCTTAATCAGCAAAGGTCCATGAATAGTTTAATTATAAACTCTACCATGTTCACATAGTTGATCTATTACCCAACTACTTCATTCGACAATAAAGATGATAGATCTTTGCAGTACCTTCAATCTCCATAGATACAGATTCACTACTTCTAACCAAACCATCCATAACTTCCTTGCCTGAAGAGTCTTGAAATTCTTGCTCTTGCACATGAGAATCAAAAAGCTTAGGAATTGGGAGCAGAGCATCCTCTGCATTAGCACGGTCTAGCGCAGTAACTGTCAAATGCAAGACCAAAAGTTAACATAATTGAAAATAACATCAACAAAGACCAACAAAATTTATAGGCTAGATACTATATACTAATTAAAAGGATCAAATGACAAGATTATGATCACCAAAGCAAGCATATCATAAGGCAAATTAATGAGAAGTTCTCATTCGTGAGAACAAGGGAAATGCTAGTGACAGTTCTGTAAAGACAATAAATTGTCACCTTTTTTTACATCTTTTGCCTTCTTAGGCTTTGCGAGGGACTTGTTCAACCGAAGAAGAACACCATCATCAGAGAAATTCAATTTTATGTCTGAGCCAGAGTGCACTGAAATTTTTTGAAACGATGGTTTTACAAGCAACCCATGAACAAGTAAAATCTGCCCAGAGGTAGGATTGTGGATGCCTTCTAACTTTGCAGCATATATTGCTGGCAATGCACCCATGTAATTTCTGGAAGATATCTCTTCCAAAGATAATGATATTTTAATGGGCTTCACATTGCGTAGTTCCTCAATATTATTTCCAAACCAAACATAACAATCACCAACTTCTGAGATAGCCAAAACAGATACTCCAACATTGTCAAGCTCCCTGCTAGGAGTGCACCTGCTATCAAGAAAAACAGCAGGATGATCCATTGCAAGAACACAACTAACTGACTTCTTTTTTGCCCCATCAATCCTCCAGACAGCAACATATCTTTCCCCAACAGCAGAGGATAGAATATACTGCCCATCTTCAGTGAAGGCAAGACACCGAACAGATCCCTATTAATTTAATTTAAAAAGTCAGACAATGCTCACAAAGACAACAAAGAAAATCAATGCTTATCTTCAGGGACAAATGCAAAGGGGAATAACACAGTATACTATACACAAACACACACACGACACTCACAGGATGGCCGAAGAACTTCTGTATCTTCTTGTGATCAGAACAATTAAAAATTTTTAGTTGTGCTGCTGCAGTAGCTATTGTCTTCCCATCTGATGCAAGTGAATCAAATAAAGCAGAAAATTCAGAAGGGGAAAAAAATGTCAGAATTTTGCAGGTTAATGTAAATAATGATTTGTAGAAGACTTTGAGTGAGTACAACTCAGGAAGTATTGTTTAGAGTTTAGCATGGACCATTTAACAACCATAGAGCTAAAGGCATGGTTGGTTTTCATTCTATTTAAAACAACTATGCAACTAACTTGAGAGTAGATGTCTCGTTACAAAATGCTGATTGAATCAGGATACATAAAACCTAAGTTTCCTAGTTAGTAGTTATGGCCCCTTGCAATGTACCAGAAGCTCCACTGTTTCCCGGGAAATCTAAAAGACTTAAACCCTAATTCAGATTGTGCCCTTAGTAAAATAAAATAAAAGTGTCAACTTCATTTCCTACGACCAAAAACTAAGAGTCCTGCAAAAGCTGTGAAGCATACATACCTGAAGAAACAGACATACAGGATATTGCCTTTGTAGAAGCTTTGAATTTTTCCAACAGGTTTCCTGTCTTACAATCAATCTTGCAAATCATTCCATCTGCACCTGCAGTATAGACACATGATCCATTTGTAGAAGATGAAACAGCTTTCACGCCTCTGCAGGTGAATGAGCAAGAAAGAGAAAAATGAATCGATAAAGTAAATGTCATGTTCTTATTTAACAGTGGGGAAGTAAATATCATCAAACCCGTCAAAGTAAAAATGAATTTTGCCGGGGATAAACTCATGAAGAGGTTAAGAAAGAAAAAGAAAGTTATTGAGTTTCAAATAAAACCACAAATTCCATGTAATCAACTCATCACAATTTCAAACCCTTACTGGAAACAAACGGGTAAAAATCATAGAAAGAAAGAGAAGTAGAAAAGAGACCCAATATCTCTATATGACAAGCCTAAAGTTTTACAGCACAAATAGCATTAAATATTTTTAGAATATGACAAGATAAAGAGAACATGTTGACAATGCTTCCTCCTATGGAACCAATACATCCAGATATTATGGTGTTGGAGTAATGAATCTACCCCTCTCATTAGCCGCTATCATATTTCAAAATACTGTAGAAAGAGTGCAGATTGCGAGTCTTTGTTAAGGACAAATGATCTAGGACTTACCCAGGATGGCAGTCACCAATTCTCCAATTTAATTGACCAGCAGACACATCAAGTGCCAACACGTCACCACTACCTGTTCCAAGTACTAACAATGAGGATGTGTGCTTCCTTTTTCTCTGCAATAATTAGCAGTATCAGGAGCAAATATTCTCTAAAGGCAAAAACAAGTACACAACATAATTACAATGAGCCAACCAACCTTTTCTTCTAATGACAACCACTTCATGCATGTATAATCTATTGAAAGATGGCCTTTCACTGATCCTGCATATATACTTGCTGCATCACTTGATGTGATGTCAGCAAACTCCGTCTGGATTTGACCATTAACTGTATCCCATATCTATACAAGAAATTGTAAATGTGTCACAAACTCTTTGAATGTAAAAACATTCATCTTTGATCATTCAAATTCAAAATTGTTCCCATAAAGAATAAGAGTATATGTTTTAAGTCACAAAAGCATGATGTGAAGCACAAAAGGGAGCCACTTTATATATTAAAACCTAAGAATTGTAGGCCTGAAATTTGGTTTTTACCATTAGAACTACCTGACTGTTCGCAATACATGGCCTTAAAGTGTTCCCCTTCCAACACATCATGCAACAAGTTACAAGATATAGCCACATGCTACTTGACATGTGTTGTGAGTTCATAATTTAGAGCTATGAAGCACCCAGAAAAAGAAGTCGTGACTGCATTTGACATGTATCGCAAACTCATATATTCACATTGAAACCAAACATCTTAGATTTATTGATGCAGCCATTGCCATGTTTGTAACAATTTTAGCTCAATGAGTTTTTCCCGAACCAAAAAATTATCTCATCTTGAGTCCAATGATAAAACAACAATTAGTGTCAGCCTAACAAAAGTATAGAACACGAAGGAAAGACATTTAATATGAACTAGTAGACTACTGATTTTCCAAATAAATAATGGAAAATTTATTTGAAAAACTGTTGTGAAATTCATCAAGAATAGGATCTCAAACTTTTGCCCCAGCCAATGGAGTATAATTTTAAGAAGAGGATGAAAACCAACCTAGAATAATCACAAGAAACAGGTGAAAACAAAGGCTACGTCAACGGAAATAAATAGCAAAGAACAGGAAATTGAAACTAAGTTATACATACTCTCCCTAAAAACCTTTTATACCTCGGAAACCGTTAGCCTGCATGGTTTCATATCCACTAATAAACCGTCTACAGTAGACCCTAACCCCATTACTTCCAGGTCCTTGACCTACTTGATCCAAAACTACCCAAAAAAGAAATGAATAAATAAATCCTCAATTTGGTCTAACATTGAAGACAAGTTATCTTTTTGAAGCCTAACTCTTGGTGTTCCTCCCCAACTTTGGAAGTGATTAGCATACTGAAGACAATGGCATTCAACGGAATGGCTAAAAAGTTTCGTGCACAAGGTAAAGTGGTGTAATACTATGCCACCAGAATAAGTAGAATGGCAACTATGGTAATGCTTCGATAAACCCATCAATACCTGTAATTTTCAATCATTTGTTGTTACTAGTAAAAAGAACCACATACCTTTATGCGACCATCTCCAGCGCTCATAGCAAACAAGTCTAACGAGGGACTAAACGCTGTTAAAAGGTCCCTAATGTCCGATGGACCCATTCTCCTAAAACACAGAAAAAGCAACTTTAGAAAATTGAAAACTCACCAGCACGAACAGAACCACGAAGAAATGTAAATAGTCCAAGGATTTCCGGTGCAGAATATACAAAGCATGCAAACTCTTGGGACCACGAAGAAGATTCCCCCCCCCCCCAAAAAAAAAGCAAGAACACGCGCACAGTCACAGAAATTCTAAATCAACAGAAAAAGTGATTCAAACATGTAATGAGTACATCACAGGCACTTCTGAACCAAGCATAACTATAGTTACTTACAGAAGCGAAAGTGTAGCTAGACTAAGAAGTTAAAGTACAAGTGAAGGTTCACGAACGGCGTACGGTAGAATAGGCCGGAGGAGAATGATATTCAGAAGCGGAAACACAGGCTGTAGCAACTACTAGCAATAGCAGCGAGGGCAACAGCCGCTTCTCTCTCAAGTGTTTCCCGCGCCGCCGTTGGACGCTGCCTCGGTGTGCCAGAGGTAAAAGGAAGGATGGAGGCTACGTAGCCCAATGGGCCTTATTTGATGCAGGCTACCTGGCCCAATGGGTCTAAATATTCTGAACTTCTCTGGGTACCGAGAGTATCCTCTAATATCTCATGTTTTGGTTATTAAAACTTTTAATCAAAGTATAATAAATTTATGGGAAGAAAACAATAAAATACCCTGAAAATTGCTAAAAAGGTAAATTTTAAAATTTTAATTCAGACTCCTAATACTATTTTGAAATTTTCAAATCTTGTAAAATTACATAAATGCCCTTTACTATATTTTTCTTTAAAAAAAAATTTGTCATCTCAATGACTATCCTGTTTTATGTATTGACAACTCTTTTATAGCTATGGATTATATTTATTTTTAGAATTCTGATAACTACTCTTATTTAATTATGCACTACTTTTGTTTACGACCAAGGTTATCAAATTCACGAGTTTAAGCAAACTCGTGATAATGATATAAAATCGGATCATAAACTCAGATCGTAAATTCGTAAAAGTTTACTTTTATTAATAAACTGATATTAAAAGTATATAATCAAATAATTAATATACAAAAAATGATAATAATTTCATTTAAATATATTTCATATTTAAATAATTGAAATTATATTCATCAATGTTCATAATTTATCACATTCAAAAAAAAAATTTGTATAGAATTCATATACAAAGTCACTAAACATAATCAAATCCAAAAATTTAGCACGAGTTTAAGAGTAAGTTAACACGATTTTGTAAGTTAAAAACGTAAAAACAGTAAACTCGTTAAATAAATTCGTAAGTTTAACCGAGTTTACAATTATCACAGGTTTAAAAGTGAATCGACACGGTTTTGTTAGTTGAAAATGTAAAATCGTTAAACTCAGAGACTCAATTTGCGAGTTTGACAATAGTGTTTACAACTGGCTATTTTTGTTTTTAAAAATTTGGTATGTACTCTTGTTTAACTATCGACTACTCTAGTTTTACTATTGATTGTTTTTGTTTCAAAAACTAAAAAAAAATGTATTAAGTGTTGTTAGAAATCTAGGAATTACTTTTTATTGAGTTATTTATTACTCCTGTGTAGTTAATAATTATACTTTTTAATCATTAGAACTTTAAAAATAAAAGTAGTTAATAATTAAACTAAAATAGTCAATGGTTATGTGAAAATGGTCACTAAGAGTAATAACAATGTTATCATTTTACAATATTTTAAAATTCCAAAGTAGAAAAAATAGTCTAATTTGGATTTTAAAATTTACCCAGCCTAATTTATCTTTTAATATTTTTGAGACTATTTTAATGTCATTTTAAAAAAAGTATCACCATAATTTTAAAATTTAAAATAAAGTGTCATTTTTCGACCAAATTAATAAAGCATCGTTCTTACCTTAAAATTTGGAAGTGTTTTCACATGCAGGGCTCTACTTATCGTGTAGAGGAGTAACAAATGACTATGATTTTACTGGGAACATTTAAAAAGCAACAATCAGGGGGAGATGGCTCTGTCGACCAAAAAAGGAAAATAATGTTACAATTTCAAGTCCAAAGTAATTTAAAAAAACTGAGTTTATACCATAAAAAAGATGTCACTTTTAAGACTATGAAATCTTAAAATGTCGATTAAAAACATTAGTCGGTCCTTTATTGATATTTAAAAAATAACAAAAATACTCATATTCGCGTATGAGTCTAAGAATCTGAAAAAGACAAGTCAAAAATGTCAAAAACTAAGTTAGAAATTCTTAAATCCTCAATTTGAATCTTGTTCAATTGAGCATTATTTTCATATCATAGTTTGACTTTAAGAAACGACAATATATAAATATATAAGTTTAAAATGATGGAAAAGCAAATATAAAAAAATTGCCTAGATGAAAACAAATACAGCTAAAGCTTTTAAGACTTCCTATTCAGTTTTCAGCACTTTCAAATTCAAGCTAGTATTTTCCAACCTGTACGTGAACAGGGACATTTTTTCCATTGACTTCTTTTCGAAAAAAATTTAGTAGAAAATTAAGGTTGTTAATTGATATTTTAAAATCTGGAAATTTGAAAGTGGCATTACCATTGTTATATTATTCCAAAATGTCATTTTCCTCACAACTAGTAATGCGTCATCGTTGTGGAATTTTTGAGCTTAACAAAACACCTTTCTGGCGGGAGAAATAATATAGGTAAGCTTGAGCCAACAACCTCCGAGCACAGCCTCGAACAGAAAGATGCTCTCCAATGATTGCTTTACTAATTTTGGAATCCCATGCACCAACTGCCTAATTTCTTTCATATTTTCAATTTAATTATTATAACATGTATATAAAAGCAATACTAAATGCAGTAATTAGATAACTAATTTCTATGAATAAAAAAAAACTAATGAAATTGTTTAATTGTAAAAATATCCTTTTTAATCATTTATATGAAATAATAACTCATTTGATGAAAAAATTTCTTGAAAATATGCAATAAGAAAGGTTCAGGAAAAATATTATAAATTTCAAAAACAAAATAAATTAAAATGTTATATTTAAAATAAAAACAAACCCACCAACTAGTTCTTTTTTTAATACTTTATCAGCTAGTTTTCAAACTTAGAACAGGTGTAATAATTTATTTTTCTTTGGAGTTTTGGACTTTTGTGAACTTGCATGTGCTTGCGCACAAATGCTGCCTCAACAAATTATGCCCAAGACAAAGCGTATATTTTGTGGCGCTTGGAATAATAAATTTCCAGCGATTACATTACATATACTTCCCTATATTCATATCACCATACCTATAACTTGCTAAACCAAACACATTCCAATAAATAAAAGTAGCAGCTGAACCCATGATCACCACTTCAAAAAAGGTGATTCTTCAAATGCTGTTTTTGACTGACGTATGGTTGGATTATGCTGAGAAAAGAATATACACACACATATTCATGGGGTAAAATAAAAAGAGGTGTTTATAGAAATTGGTTGAGACAACTTTTAAGACCAAGGGGGTGTTTGGGAAGCTATAAAAGTGCTTCTCAAAAACACTTTTCCGCAAATTGAGACAAACTCCTCCACATATTTACTTTGTGTACCGTAAGCGAAAAGCATTCATTATATTAAATAAGCCCAAACTTTGTGGACATAGTAAGTCTAGAGGTTTAAATCACCCAAGTCATTATAGCTTATGAAATCCATTCAAAAACCAGAGCATGAGTCTAAATGGAAGAACATAAAAGCAAGAATAGGAGGTGCTGTAAAGCTAATCAAGAATTTTAAGAGGTGTCCTATAGGGATGTGATTAAACCAGTCAACGACACCTCTATCCATGTTTAAAACCCCAACGACAAGGGGTGGGCAAGCCCAACGACATACCAAAACAAGCACGTCCTATTGAAAGGTAAATCTTGCCATTTTCGAGTAAAGAGAAACTAAAGAGTGTGAACCATTAAAGAGAAACTAAAGAGCCAGTTTAGTGTGAGTTGGAAACAATCGACCATATAAACTAATTATATAAGTAGTTGTTATATTAAAAACTAAAGGCAGTATATTAAACTTGTAAAACGTTCATATATTTTGGGTCTTTCACGTGTTTGCATGGTTGCTTGGAAGTTGCAACATATGTATGCTTGGATATTAGAACCATGCTACAAAACTTCAAACTTATATTTTATAACTAATGCGTGGGAGATGTTTTTATAAAAAAAATATAGATAAAAAAGATTAGAAAAATCATATACTTAAATATGTTTATTTATAAACTAATTATTATTTTTATCATATTGTTGTTGTTGTTTCCTTAAAAATAAGTTTTATTAACGTTTATTTTCTATTACATAACAAGGATGTTACAAAATCATCACTTTAACAAAATAAATGTGGAATGAAATCAATAACTTTTTAATGAACTAAGTGTTTGTTTTTATAAGGATTAACTCTATCCTTACAAAATTAATATTTGTTTTAAGAAAAAGCTTGTTATGAGAAGTAATTGTTATATATAATTGTTCACTTTGCTTTATGATCTTGTTCGACTAAGAAACTAAGCTTCATGACCTAACTAGAAAAAAGAGGTTTCCAAATAGAAGTAGCGTAAGTGCTATATATGTAGAATTAATATTCACATTGAATTTTTGTACTTTTCCCCCTTTTCTCCCCTCTTATTTTTGTTAATATTTTTTTAGTTTGAAAAAAATAAGGGGGCTCCTTTTATATGAAACCTCAAGAAGTTGCTCTCTTACCCTAGATACCTTCAGCTATTAATATCAAATAGAGATAAGAAGACAATAAATGTAGGACACCATAAGATGATCGCATGAGAAGCTAATTTAACTCAACTTTAACATTTTCCCCATATTTGAAGATTTATAATCCGACACTGACCGTGATGTTTTTATTTATTATATATATAATAAGAGTAAAAAAGGATAATCATTTAGAGTTGTTTGGAAAGAAAGGCATCATAGAATAATCATTTAAAATTCTTGATGTAGGGGCAATAGATTAATAGCTGTTACAAAAATATATATCAAAAACCATTAGACTCTAACCAGCATCGAATAGGAAGTTTTATATAAAAACCCTCCTATAAGAACATAAAAGCATAAACACTTGACTGTTTTTAATGACCCAAGTACTTAAAATCACTTTTTCCATTCATTATAAGATAAGATTGGTAACCTCAAATTAGTCAATTGGCTCTTATGAAATCCTGATACCAAATCAGATGCAAATCTTGGAAGTGAAAATTATGTACTAATCATATGATGTCACAATCATATTGAATGAGTTAGATTTGCATATTAGATTTGTCTAATCAACTTAATTACTATATATAAATAAGCTTTGGCCCATTCATAATCAAGTTTAATTAGGTGAAGCTTACATAATGTAGGGCACCGACTGAAGAACTTCCTTTTCCACTTGTTCAAAAATAGAAAGTTCATGATGTCATATAAACTCTTTTATTGTTGAACTCTGACGAA